CACCCCTACACGTCAGTCAGAGATGATGATACATACGACGGTAGGGAATTAGCTTACTTTTTCAGAGCACAAAAGTTCGCTAATTCTGTAAGTATCATATTAATTTCAGAAGGAAAGACTTGCTTATGTCCTATAGAGACTCGGCAAGGTATGCCTACATCCTTGGACTACCAATTTTACTTTTGAGGCAATTAACTGTTTCATTTGTTTTCGAAACTCAGTTTCATTTGTTTAGTAGGATTTTCTTGCCCTTATCCTCTTACATGAGTACCGGGTACAAGATTTCCTGCGCCCTTGATTTAAATTAATCATTTAACATCTTGTACTTAACTTTAATTGTTAAAGATCCCACAGGATAGGTACCAGTTGCCACGTTGTCCTGTTCCTGACATTCACTATATATAACGGTATATTCGTTGTACATTTATTTGCTAATTTCACCATGTTTCGTCTCCAAGCTTTCCGGTGCAGATCCAGCAGGTACAATTGGGACTTTAAGTCGTGCCAAGAGAGCTGAATTACAAACTCTTGCACATGAGTATCAACTAACAGTTCCCTACCAAGCCAACAAGAGTGAAATACACAACCTGTTGCTGGATCATTTCTTAGAGCAAGGTAAGATAGACTCTGAAACTCATGAAACTTACTATATTGCAGATAAAACTGATTTGGCAACGATGAAACTCAAACTAGAGCTGGCCAAGATTGAACGTGAGCAGCAAAGGGAAGCAGCTGCCATGCAAAGGGAAGCCCTCGAACAACAAAGGGAAGCAGCTGCCATACGGAAGGAAGAACACGAACGTGAACTCGCCCTCCAGGAACGTGAGGTTGCAATGCTCCAGGAGCGGGAACGAGTACAGCTTGAAACCAAACGACGCGAGTTGGAGATGCAACGCGAACATGACCAGCAACAAGCGACTCTGGCTCTAGAGTGTCGTCAACGAGAATTCACGTTGGAAACTTCACACCTCGCTCAACGCCAGCAAGCTACTGCCAATCTTCCCGTCAGTTTTAATATATCACATGCAAGTAAGTTAATGCCATCCTTTGTAGAAGCAGAAGTTGATGTGTTTTTTACCACCTTTGAAACCCTTGCTAATCAACTCAGTTGGCCTGTCGACCAATGGGCCACACTTCTCAGAGTCCATCTTACAGGTAGAGCTGCAGTCACACTCAGTACTTTGGCGTCTGAGAATGACTACCAGACTCTGAAACAAGCAGTGTTGGACGCCTACCTCCTCTCCACAGAAAGTTATCGAAGGAAATTCCGTGACCATCTGAAGGCAAGTACCACTACCTTCCTCGAGTTTGCTAACACAAAACGAAGATATTTCATGAAATGGCTGGAAGCAGCACATGTCTCTACTTTTACAGAACTCGTCAACCTGATGCTAGTTGAAGAATTCTTGAGGCGTGTGCCGCCTCCTGTCCGTCTATACTTAGCAGATAAAGAAGAAACCGACTACCTGAAGTGTGCTAAGTCGGCTGACACTTACAGCCTCATCCACCGGCTGACACCCGAACCATCCTCTAGTAAGAAGTCGTGGTACAGTTACGAGAAAGTGAGTACCGATCAAGCTGGCTCGCAATTGTACTGCAAGTATTGTAGACTGTATGGACATACCATAGACAAGTGTGGTAAGTCTCAATACAAAGGAACCACTGACACAGAAACCCAAACCAACTCCTCCTAAGTCCGGTAAGCCTGTGATGAATGTTGGTGTTAATGTTAATGATCTTTCTCTTTTCAGTAACCACCTGTATACTGGAACTGTCTCAGCCAACGGTTCAAATCCGGAGGGACGTTTCAAATTGAAGATCTTGAGGGACACAGCGGCTCTTCAATCGATCATCTTGAAGTCGGCTGTGCCCAACATCGCCTACACCGGAGAAACTGTCTTCATCACTGACCTCACTGCTACCACTCCTTATCCTCTCGCCAGAGTCCACTTGGATTGTCCCTACGTGAAGGGAGAAGTCCAAGTCGCCGTCAGGGAAAAGCCTTTTCCCATGCCTGGAGTGCAACTTCTCCTGGGCAACGACTTGGCAGAAGACCTGCAACCGACCAACCTAATCGTCATGGACAAACCCCAGGTGTGTACCTCTGTGCCAATTAACCCTATTTTAGAGTATGTTCCAGCAGAGGTTCAAGAGAGCGATGAAGTTTCTCCTTCGGTTCTAGTGACCACCCGTGCACAAGCCGCACGTCCACAGCCAGCTGACTCTACTGCTACCGCTGTCCCTCAAGACCCTCAGAAACTACCCCCGAATCTGACCAAGTTGGAGTTCCGTAAGTTGCAGAGAGATGATCTTACCTTAACACCATTGTTTTTCCAGGCTGAGACTCAACCCGACAGTATTCCTGGGTTCTTCCTAGAGAACGACTTGCTCTACCGCAGATATAGACCCAGTAAACTGAAGGAGGAGGACGATTGGGCCAACATCGAACAACTTTTGATTCCTACCAGCCTGCGGCCCACTATTCTACACCTGGCCCACGGAGCACTCTCCCACTACGGATTCAACAAGACTTACCATGAAATTCGTCAAGACTACTACTGGCCAGGTATGGTAAATAGCGTCAAACAGTACGTAAAACAGTGTCATACATGTCAGCTGGCAGGCAAACCGAACATCTCCATTCCCAGAGCGCCACTGATTCCCATACAGGTGCCTGCGGAACCTTTCCACAGACTTATACTAGACTGTGTTGGTCCTTTACCTCGGACCAGTTCAGGTAACGCCTATATCTTAACCATCCTGTGTCCTACCACCAGATTTCCCATAGCAGTTCCAGTGAAGAACATCACGGCTGCTACGGTTGTAAAGCATTTATTGAAGATCTTCACTCAATATGGATTTCCCAGGGAGGTTCAGAGCGACTGTGGTACCAACTTCACCAGTGATCTCTTCAAAAGGACACTGGAGGAGTTCAACATCAACCAGGTATTGTCCAGCTCCTATCATCCTGCTTCACAGGGTTCTCTTGAGCGTAGTCATCAGACTATCAAAGCACTCTTGAAAAAGTTTTGTAGTGAAACCTCTAAGGATTGGGATAAGCAAATTGATGTGATAATGTGCATTTATAGAAGTCTTCCCAATGAGTCCCTAGGAGTATCTCCTTATGAGATGCTCTACGGCCGTAAGTGCCGTACTCCCCTCAAGGCTTTCAAAGACTCTCTAAGAGATGCCACCTTCAGTGAGCATCAGAATGTGCCTCAGTTTCTTCAAAACCTTCAACACATTCTAGAGAGAGTCCACTGTTTTGCCCATGATAATCTATTGAAAGCCCAGGAGAGGATGAAGACTCATTACGACCAGACCAGCAAAGTAAGAAAATTTAAGCCGGGAGACTTCGTGCTAGCATACTTCCCTATCCCAGGTTCTCCTTTACAAAACAGGTTTTCAGGACCCTACCGCATCAAGGAGTGCAGAAACAACCATAACTACGTTCTCGAGACTCCAGATAGGCGGTGGAAGACCCAGCTGTGCCACGTCAACCTCCTGAAGCAATATAATGGTACTCCTCCCACTGTCATGATCAATTATTCTACATTCACAGAACCCTACATCCACAGTGAGACCTTCCCAGCTTCTCCTCCCGAAAGCACTGACAAGGAGTCAGCGCTTTCTAATTCAAAAATCCATATTGATATTCCCAACCATTTTCAGGACCCTAATAGTGCTCCTTTGCCATATTCTAATTCCACTCTCACCTCGTCAGATAAGCCCTTCATCCTCCATGTCGACACCAGTGGTACCGGCGTTGGTGGTGTCGTGATGCAGCAACAAGGCGAGGAGAATACACCTGTCAGCGACTACTGCTACAAGGAACTACGGAACAATTGGCAAGGAGCTACTCTTCATCATCCTTAAGCTCCCGCACTTTACTCCACACCTGAAAAGTGCTCGGTCTACCATCAACACGGACCACACCACCCTACACCTCCTGCAGCTTGCCCACTTCTAAACTCAACGTCTTCTACTATGGGCTTGATAACTGCAGAAATTCAACCTGGAGACCCGCTAAACCGAGGTTCTGACAGCATTATAGCCGATGCACTCTCCAGAGTTTATGAAGTAGAAGCGACTCCATCTATTACTCCACCACATAACGACGTACTTCTTCCAGAACCACAGGCTTCGGGGGAGAGTTGTGACGATAATCTCCTTCAAGAGAGATTGAGCCTGCTCTTCCCTCCTAAGTTCGTCCCTATACAACAATACAACTAATATGGAAGAAATGTCCAGCAAGTACAACACCAAGGTTTGCCAGAGAGCAAACGTATTCAGCACCAGGAACACCTGCTCCACCTCCACCACTCGAACCACCAAACTACCTGTCCATCGCCTGCTCATCGCTGATTGGCTGGTGCCCCAGTCACACCTGCTCCCTCCACCCGACACTACCTGACGTCTGAGCCACCACGACCTACAGACCTCAGAATATCCCGTGCTTTCCACAAGTTAACACGTCTCGTTGGTAGACTAAGCTCTGGCTTACGTGTACTAAGAGAGGTGGCAGCTTAAAGCCAATATTTCTGCACCCATATTTTGCATTGTATATTATTCACTTGTTATTACTCACTTGTCTTAACGTAACTTTTCATTTTGCCATTTGATTATTATTATTATTTTGATTGATTGATTTTATATTGCAATTTATATGTCCATTTTATTCATGTTTTGCTTTTCTAACGTAATTAAAATCTCATTGTTAAATTTACTTGTGTTTTGTGTGTCTTCCCATTACCTTACCACAGACGAAGTTCCAGATTTTCTCTTTTTGTTTTTATATGTGACGAGGCCATACCCTTAGCTTTTGAAACAGCCGAACACCAACGCGTTACCGTCACTATATATATATATATATATATATATATATATATATATATATATATATATATATATATATATATATATATATATATATATATATATATTGTTCCCAGGCGGGAATTGAACTCGGTACAAGAAACAGTAAAAAAAAAAGTACACTATTCTTAAGCGTTCAACAAATCTTTCATTGAATCTAACTTGCATATGGGTTTGTTTCCCAGGGTACATGGTGGGGAGGGCAGGGTCAGGCACCGGGCTGTACATGGGTCCCTACTTCCCCAGCCCTCAGCCCCTGAACATCACTGTACACCAGGACACCGTCGCCTACCTTCCCTGCACTGTCAATCAGCTTGGAGACAAGTCGGTCAGTGCCACAACTTCCACGAAAGTCTTTAACAGATTTTTTGTATTTTTTAAACTCAAAACTGAATTTCATATTTAAGTTTTTAATACTTTTTCTTCATAAAGATCAAAATTTGAGATGTAAATAGTGCAGGTCTGTATTTTTTTGGTATTTGTATTTTTTTTTTATCCCCATTTCATTTCTTACTAATTATCAGTTATTATCACCTTTCCTGACTTGTTATTTATTCTTTATTTATTTATTAAACGTCTAACTTTTATTTTGTCCCTGGTTAGCTATGTTATTTGTATTCATCGTTAATGCTATGTTATCACGTACATTGTTGAATTAGATTCTCTTAAATTAAATGTAAATTGGTAGAATTTCTCTTGTAAATTGTTTTTTTATGCAGATGTTTAGACGTAGTTACATATAAGCTGACTTATAAGAATGAAATGAGAGTGCTTGATATGAAGTGCTTCGGCTATGTCTAAAATAGTTCTCTTGCTAAATCTAGTGATTATTTCCAGCTCTTGATGAACGTTCTCTGATAGTTCACATGAACATATTCCTCTCCAATCACTCACAGACATATTATGTATCCTGCCTCATTGTGTAAAAAAAGAATACCATTACACGTTTCAAATAATATTTACAACGTGAACTCACGTAATTGTGCTTGCGGAGGTTGAGCTTTGGCTCTTTGGTCCCGCCTCTCATCTGTCACTCAACCGGTATACAGATTCCTGAGCCTACTAGGCTCATATCTACATTTGAAATTGTGTATGGAGTCAGCCTCCACCACATCACTTCCTAGTGCATTCCATTTATTAACAACTCTGACATTGAAAAAACTCTTTCTGAGGTCTCTGTGGCTCATCTGGGTACTAAGTTTCCACCTGTGTCTCTTTGTTCGTGTCCTACCCGTGCTGAAGAGTTTGTCTTTGTCCACCCTGTCTATTCCTCTGAGAATTTTGTAGGTGGTTGTCATGTCTCCCCTTACTCCTCTGTTTTCCAGGGATGTGAGGTTCAGCTCCTTTAGCCTTTCCTCGTAGCTCATTCCTCTCAGTTCCGGGACGAGCCTGGTGGCATACCGCTGAATCTTCTCAAACTTTGTCTTGTGTTTAACAAGGTACGGACTCCAGGCAGGAGCTGCATACTCCAGGATTGGTCTTACATAAGTGGTATACACAGGGTCCTGTGTATACTGGCCTGTAGTTCAGTGCCTCTTGCCTGTCACCCTTCTTGTATATTGGGACTACGTTAGCTGTCTTCCCACTTTCTGGTAAGTCTCGTGTTCCCAGTGACCTGTTATACACCATAGAGAGTGGAACACTTAGTGCTTCTGCACCTTCCTTTAGTATCCATGGTGAGATTCTGTCAGGCGGTTGCTGTGTGTGTGTGTGTGTGTGTGTGTGTGTGTGTGTGTGTGTGAGTGTGTGTGTGTGTACTCACCTAGTTCACCTAGTTGTACTCACCTAGTTATGCTTGCGGGGGACTAACTCTGTCTCTTTGGTCCCGCCTCTCAACCGTCAATCAACAGATGTACAGGTTCCTGAGCCTATTGGGCTCTATCATATCTACACTTGAAACTGTGTATGGAGTCAGCCTCCACCACATTGCTTCCTAATGCATTCCATTTGTCAACCACTCTGACACTAAAAAAGTTCTTTCTAATATCTCTGTGGCTCATTTGGGCACTCAGTTTCCACCTGTGTCCCCTAGTGCGTGTGCCCCTTGTGTTAAATAGCCTGTCTTTATCTACCCTGTCGATTCCCTTGAGAATCTTGAATGTGGTGATCATGTCCCCCCTAACTCTTCTGTCTTCCAACAAAGTGAGGTTCAATTCCCGTAGTCTCTCCTCGTAGCTCATACCTCTCAGCTCGGGTACTAGTCTGGTGGCAAACCTTTGAACCTTTTCCAGTTTACTCTTATGCTTGACTAGATATGGACTCCATGCTGGAGCCGCATACTCCAGGATTGGTCTGACATATGTGGTATATAATGTTCTGAAAGATTCCTTACACAAGTTTCTAAAGGCCGTTCTTATGTTAGCCAACCTGGCATATGCTGCTGATGTTATCCTCTTGATATGAGCTTCAGGGGACAGGTCTGGCGTGATATCAACCCCCAGGTCTTTCTCTCTCTCTGACTCTTGAAGTATTTCATCTCCCAAGTGATACCTTGTATCTGGTCTCCTGCTTCCTACTCCTATCTTCATTACATTACCTTTGCTTGGGTTAAACTCTAACATCCATTTGTTCGACCATTCCTGCAGCTTGTCTAGGTCTTCTTGAAGCCTCAAGCTGTCCTCCTCTGTCTTATTCCTTCTCATAATTTTGGCGTCGTCAGCAAACATTGAGAGGAATGAGTCTCTACCCTCTGGGAGATCATTTACGTATATCAGAAACAGGATAGGTCCAAGCACAGAGCCCTGTGGGACTCCACTGGTGACTTCACGCCATTCTGAGGTCTCACCCCTCACTATAACTCTCTGCTTCCTATAGTTTGGGTACTTCCTTATCCACTGGAGCGCCCTACCAGTTACTCCTGCCTGTTTCTCCAGCTTATGCATCAACCTTTTATGGGGTACTGTGTCAAAGGCTTTCCGACAGTCCAAAAAAATGCAGTCGGCCCATCCTTCTCTTTCTTGCTTAATCTTTGTCACCTGATCATAGAATTCTATCAAGCCTGTAAGGCAAGATTTACCCTCCCTGAACCCATGTTGATGGGTTGTCACGAAGTCTCTTCTCTCCAGATGTGTTACTAGGTTTTTTCTCACAATCTTCTCCATCACCTTGCATGGTATACAAGTTAAGGACACTGGCCTGTAGTTCAGTGCCTCTTGTCTGTCACCCTTTTTAAATATTGGTACTACATTAGCAGTCTTCCATACTTCTGGTAGGTCTCCCGTTTCCTGTGACCTACTATACACTATGGAGAGTGGCAAGCAAAGTGCTCCTGCACACTCTTTCAATACCCATTGTGAGATTCCATCCGGCCCAACAGCTTTTCTCACATCCAGCTCCAATAGGTGCTTCTTGACCTCATCTCTTGTAATTTCGAACCTTTCCAAGGTCACCTGGTTTGCTGCCACCTCTCCTAGCGCCGTGACTTCTCCCTGTTCTATTGTAAAGACCTCCTGGAACCTTTTGTTGAGTTCTTCACACACCTCTTTGTCTTTCTCTGTGTACCTGTCCTCGCCCACCCTAAGTTTCATCACCTGTTCCTTCACTGTTGTCTTCCTCCTGATGTGACTGTGTAGTAGCTTTGGTTCGGTCTTGGCTTTATTAGCAATCTTATTTTCATACCATTTCTCAGCTGCTCTTCTCACACTAACATACTCGTTCCTGGTTCTCTGGTATCTCTCTCTACTTTCTGGTGTTCTGTTATTGCGGAAGTTCCTCCATGCCCTTTTGTTCAGCTCCTTTGCTTTCATACATTCCCTATTAAACCACAGATTCTTCCTTTGCTTCTCTGTTTTTTCCTGTTGGGCTGGGACAAACCTGCTTACAGCCTCCTGACATTTTTGGGTGACATAGTCCATCATGTCTTGTACGGACTTGGTTCCGAGTTCTGTGTCCCAATGTATATCCCATAGGAATTTATTCATCTCCTCATAGTTTCCCTTTCTGTACGCCAGCCCTTTGTTTCCCAGTTCCTTTTTGGGGGTGATAATTCCTAGCTCAACCAGGTACTCAAAGCTCAATACACTATGATCACTCATTCCCAAGGGGGCTTCCAACTTAACTTCCCTTATATCCGACTCATTTAGGGTAAATATCAGATCAAGCAAGGCTGGTTCATCCCCTCCTCTCGTTCTTGTCGGTCCCTTGACGTGTTGACTTAGAAAGTTTCTTGTTGCCACATCCAGCAGCTTAGCTCTCCATGTGTCTGGGCCTCCATGTGGGTCTCTGTTCCCCCAATCAATCTTTCCATGGTTGAAGTCTCTCATGATTAGTAGCCTGGATCCGTTCCTGCTAGCCACAGAAGCTGCTCTCTCTATTATATTGATGGTGGCCAAGTTGTGTTTGTGTGTGTGTGTGTGTGTGTGTGTGTGTGCGCGCCCGCGTGCGTGCTAAGTAATCGATACATTCAAGGTCCCGAGTTGTGTCTCCGTCCTGCAGGTGTCTTGGGTGAGGCAGAGGGACGCGGATATCCTGACGGTGGACCGCTACACCTTCGTCAGGGACGAGCGGTTGACCGTACACTTCATCCCTGATACAGGCACCTGGACGCTGGTCATCAAGTACGTCCAGGAGCGCGACGCTGGCACCTATGAGTGCCAGATCTCCACCGAGCCAAAGATGTCACTGCTGGTCCATCTTAACGTCATTGGTGAGTCTCGATTACTTGTCGCCTCCAGCTGGGGCTTGCAATCATCCAGCTGGTGCCTGGTGCTTGTGAGAGCCAGCTGGACTGGTATTCCTACAATTTGTGACTGGTGTTGGTCGGTAAAACTGGAGTCTTCCTCTCCGGTGGAACTGGGTTCGAGTTTCCGAGGGTAAAAGTGAATTAAATGTTATTTTGAACTTTCAGTGTGGTTTGCAAATGATGTGACTAGCACGAGGATCACCTAATAGCTACGCGTAATAATATTTATTCACAACAAAGTCTAAGGCAAGTGCTTGGTAGTATCCAGAGTACAGATTGGAGTCCGTAGCCATAACTCACCCGGCGCAAGTACATCAACTAGTTAAAGTTCACTTGACTGCTCTTACTCACTGCTGCTCTGATAATCTCTTCATTGTCGGCTCCCACTTTTGCAAAGTGATAATGAGGTCACATATCAGACGACCACCTTTAACAGATCCACTGTTCGCGATCGTTCTCAATACATTGCGAGCTAGCGGCCCAATTGGAGTCAGACTTTCGGCGTTGTAATTAGCTGTCACCGATTATATATGATAATTGAAGCGACGAGAGCGTCCCACTTGCTCCACCCCGGCTTTTCGCTGGTTGAGGCCCCTCACTCGACACGTAAGAGAAAGGTTCTTAATTTCCTTTCATTTTCACTACGTAGTTATGAGCTTCTCAAAGAGCCTGGATGGTAGCAGCGGGTCGTCTGGACACCTTAACGGACTGTAAATGAAGACTCTGGTATAGAATACCTTGACATATGCGTTGAATCTATAATTTAATAGAAGTGCATTCTTTACAATCGACGTGAAGATCGTTGCAGCTTAACAAAAAGAAATGTTGTCTTGTCAGGGAGGGTGTCACTAAACACATGTGCCTTGTGTGTGTATATGGTATATACACATAAGTATATACACACAAGTATATGGTATATACATTGAGTACTCACCTATAATATTGGAGACTGAAAAAAGTACTGTTTAAATCTTTTATATATAAAGTACAAGACAGAACTACAGGCAGTCAGTGTATATGCACATCTATGACTCTGATCTTTTGATGTAAAGGTTTTACAAATCTTTGGGAGAGGATTACATTCAATTACAATCACAATGAGACAGAAACACAAGCAAAACATTTATACGTAAAAAATGCCTGAAATTACAATGAAAATAATAATAATAATAATAATAATAATAATAATAATAATAATAATAATAATAATAATAATAATAATAATAATAATAATAATAAAATCAATTGAAGCTATCAGTAGCACTAGAAATATGTTCAAACCGCATACCCCTAAGAAAAAAGAGAAAGAGATGCAGATTGGAACGGGAACATCGTTCCCTATATAGGCGAAGAAAACGAATCGCGGAACAAGTTGAGAGTCTCACCCTATCTCAAGAACGGCGAAGAAGGTTAGGTAGAGAAATAGAAACAATTGAACTCAAGCTACAAGAATCATTCAAAACCCAGGAGAGGCAAAGAGAGCAAAAGGCCATCAGTGCAATATTGAGTAATCCGAAGTATTTTTTCTCCTATGCAAAATCAAGATCAAAAACCACATCTAGTATCGGGCCCCTGCGAAATGGAGATGGAACTTTCACCGATGACAACAAAGAAATGAGCGAGTTACTGAGGAAGCAGTACGACTCTGTTTTCAGCGAGCCACTAAACGCACTAAAGATTGATAACCCAAATGAATTTTTCATGAATATGATATCAACATCAAATCATATATCAAATGTCACCCTATCCCCACTGGATTTTGAAGAAGCCTTAAACAGTATGCCTATGCACTCTGCACCAGGCCCGGATTCTTGGAACTCTATATTCATCAAGAACTGTAAAAAAACACCATCGCAGGCCCTTCACATTCTGTGGAGACAAAGCCTAGATATTGGCGTTATCCCTGACATACTAAAAACAGCAGAGATAGCACCACTCCAAAAGGAGGAAATAAGGCAGAGGGAAAACAATACAGGCCGCAGGTAATCCTCCCATCATCCACAGTGCCACAGGTAATCCTTCCCTCATCCACAGTGCCGCAGGTAATCCTTCCATCATCCACAGTGCCGCAGGTAATCCTTCCATCATCCACAGTGCCGCAGGTAATCCTTCCATCATCCACAGTGCCACAGGTAATCCTTCCATCATCCACAGTGCCGCATGTAATCCTTCCATCATCCACAGTGCCGCAGGTAATCCTTCCATCATCCACAGTGCCGCAGGTAATCCTTCCATCATCCACAGTGCCGCAGGGAGGGAGAAAATTATCAGGGGAAAGCGCCAAGCGTTTACGACTATACAGCACATGGGTGGGATCAGGATAAGGATTTACGATGGGACGGGGGGGGGAAGGAATGGTGCCCAACCACTTATGGACGGTCGGGGGATTGAGCGCCGACCTGCAGGTCTACATTTCCGCAGTAATACACATCCAAAACTAACTTTCCTGTCCTCCCTTCCGCAGTTCCGCAAGTGGAAGTGAGTGGAGCGGCGGACAAGTATGTGAGGAGTGGATCAACCGCTCGGCTCGAGTGCAAAGTGAGCTCAGCAGTTCAGCTTCCCGATTACATCTTCTGGTACCACTCTGGGGAGCGGCTGCTGGAGTATGACAACCCCAGAGTGAAGTTTAGAGTGTCGAGGCGGGGCGGCCAGGGCAGTGAGATGAGTGTTACATCTACTCTGGTGATCTCCAGTGCCAGGCCCTCAGACGCCGGCAACTATACCTGCCTTCCCTCCAATCTTCACCCTGCCACCACGCTCCTCCATGTCCTCAATGGTATGTGGCATGGTTGTTGTGGTTGTGGTTTTAGATTCAGCTTATCGGAACAACAAGTTCCAAGTAACTCGGGCTATGGTAAGCCCGTAATGAACGAAAGAATGAAAGTAACTGCAGAAGAGTAATTGGCCCATAAGAGGTAGCTCCTATTAATATCCACCCAATCTCATTCATATTCTAACTTATGCTTGAAACAATCAATGGATCCTACTTCTATTGGACTTACCTGGCAGAGGAGCTGGGCTGTGTGTACTGGTGGCATGGTATTTGTCCATTTCTTCTTGAGTTCATTCACCCTCACTTCTCTAGTGTCATCTCCCAGGAGCAAGAACTGTCTCTATAGACGACACTAATCTACTGACACAGTCTCAGAGCCCTTCAGGATGTGATAATAATTTGTTTTTCGATAAATTTTGTGTGAATATACATATATATTTACAACATATACACCAAAATTATACATGTGTATTTCGTTCTTTGCATTACTTTGCTTTAGAACCGTCATTTGTGTGTTCAAGCACCTCCTTTTATCTCTACCTTCTGATAATAATGAGATGAGCCTGAATAAATCCACAGGAGCCATGATGGGGATTCGAATCCTCCTCGAATCCTACACTCGAACTGTGTGTAGATGAGCATCACTGTTGCCAAAGATATGTGGTTTCTTGCCGTGTAATTTTAAGTCTTAGTTGGGCTGGACGGTAGAGCGACGGCCTCGCTTCATGCAGGTTGGTGTTCAGTCACCGACCGTCCAAGTGGTTGGGCACCATTCCATCCCCCCGTCCCATCCCTAGTCCTTATCCTGATCCCTCCCAAGTGCTGTAGTCGTATTAGATGCCTCCTGAAAGTTTCCTTCCCTTTATCTTAACTGGAATGTTATTTACAAATATATTTATTGTTATAAATTATTTTCCACGCCTTGGACCACTTTTTATTTTTTCACTCTTGTTATTAAACATAATTTTATCAAAATACTTTTAAAATTATTTATATGTTCGTTGTAGAATACAAGATTGACGTATTTTATTACCCTTCTGGTAAAGATTTTGTTAAATTCAGAACTCTGTTTATATTTCAAAATACAGTAACACAACTGGGATAATACAGCTTTCCCCTTATAGTACTGTTCCCAAGCTTGACGTATGCCAAAGATCAACTGCGATGTAAAACACTGATCAAGTCCTTCAATCTCCACACACAAATCAGACATCCTATCAATTGGTGTCTTATCTTGCTTCACTTTCGTGCCCAACGTCTGTTTTCTTGCTCATCCCACAACGTTTTCTTTCATCATTTAAAGTGACGCATGGCTGCTTGCACGTATTCCACAAACTTATCTTTTCCTGAAATATACTGAGACAACAGTCTTACTGTTGGCTTGATTCTTGATCCAGTGTTCTCTTTTTCCACCCCCCCCCCCCCGATATACTGTTTAAATTATGAGTTGTATTTTGGGTTTTTGAGCCAAATTTGCGAAATATGTGCATCGAGAGGTGTAAAAGACTTTTCAGTGTAAATATACTGAGATAAATGCGTTGGCCTTACTAACCCAACCACGGTTGACAGGCCTTAAGCTCAGCAACAAACTAATAATATCACATAACTCGAGTCTCCAGTAAAATATATGATAACCTGGTTTGCTGGGAGGAACACACCACACTCCATGGCCCAAGGCACTAAGTTTTTGACAGCCAATTTACCAATGTATATATATATTTTTCCAAAAGCTTTTAACCCCAGAAGGAGACAAAAACACCCTTTCACACCCCCACACACACATCCACACACACACACACAATGTTTGAGAGGAAACAATGTTTCTTCTCAATGTTTGCTGACGATGCCAAAATTATGAGAAGGATAAAAACAGAGGAGGACTGCTTGAGGCTTCAAAAAGATCTAGACAAACTAAAGGAATAGTCGAACAAATGGTTGTTAGAGTTTAACCCAAGCAAATGTAAAGTAATGAAGATAGGTGAAGGGAGCAGGAGGCCAGTTACAAGGTATCATTTGGGAGGTGAAATTCTACACGAGTCAGAGAGAGAGAAAGACCTGGGGGTTGATATCACGCCAGACCTGTCCCCGGAAGCCCATATCAAGTAGATAACATCAGCAGCATATGCCAGGTTGACTAACATAAGAACGGCATTTAGACACTTGTGCAAGGAATCATTCAGAACTTTGTATACCACCTATGTCAGACCAATCCTGGAGTATGCAGCCCCAGCATGGAGTCCATATCTAGTCAAGCATACGACCAAACTGGAAAAAGTTCAGAGGTTTGCCACCAGACTAGTACCCGGGCTGAGAGGTATGAGCTACGAGGAGAGACTTCGGGAATTAAACCTCACGTCGCTGGAAGACAGAGGAGTTAGGGAGGGACATGATCACCACATTCAAGATTCTGAAGGGAATTGATAGGGTAGATAAAGACAGGCTATTTAACACAAGGGGCACACGCTCTAGAGGACACAGGTGGAAACTGAGTATCCAAAAGAGCCACAGAGATATTAGAAAGAACTCTTTTTAGTGTCAGAGTGGTTGACAAATGGAATGCATTAGGAAGTGATGTGGTGGAGGCTGACTCCATACACAGTTTCAAGTGTAGATATGATAGAGCCCAATAGGTTCGGGAACCTGTACACCTGTTGATTGACGGTTGAGAGGCGGGACCAAAGAGCCAGAGCTCAACCCCCAGCAAGCACAAATAGTTGAGTACAAATAGGTCAGTACACACACACACACACACACACACACACACACACACACACACACACACACACACACACACACACACACACACACACACACACACACACACACACACACACACACACACACACACACACACACACACACACACACACACACACACACACACACACACACACACACACACACACACACATGCAGGAGGCACTGGACTACAGGCCTAACCTGCATACCATGCAAGCTGATGGAGAAGATTGTGCGAAGAAAGCTAGTGGAACATCTGGAGCGAAAGAACTTTGTAACACAGCATCAACATACAAAATCAGGCAAGAAAGAAAAGGGTGGGTAGACTGCATATTTTTGGATTGTCAGAAAGCCTTTGATATAGTACCACACAAGAGGATAGTGAAAATGCTGGAGATGCAAGCTGGAGTGAAAGGGAAGGTACTCCATTGGATAAAGGAGTACCTAAGCAACAGGAGACAACGAGTCAGTGTGAGGGGTGAGGTCTCAGATTGGCGAGACGTTACGAGTGGAGTACCGCAGGGGTCAGTCCTTGGACCTATACTGTTTCTGATATATATAAATGATCTCCCAGAGGATTTAGACTCGTTTCTCTCAAAGTTTGCTGATGATGCAAAAATTATGAAGAGGATTGAAACAGAGGATGATAGTAGGAGTCTACAAGATGACCTTCTTGAGGTTATCTTGAGATGATTTCGGGGTATTAGTGTCCCCGCGGCCTGGTCCTCGACCAGGCCTCTACCCCCAGGAAGCAGCCCGTGACAGCTGACAAACACCCAGGTACCTATTTTACTGGTAAGTAACAGGGGCATAGGGTGAAAGAAACTCTGCCCATTGTTTCCCGCCGGCGCCTGGGATCGAACCCAGGACCACAGGATCACAAATCCCGCGTGCTGTCCGCTCGGCTCCCCTCTAGACAGACTGAGTGAATGGTCCAACAAATGGCTGTTGAAGTTCAACCCGAGTAAATGCAAAGTAATGAACTAGGCAGTGGAAACAGGAGGCCAGACACAGGATACAGAATAGGAGATGAAGTACTTAATGAAACGGACAGAGAGAAAGATCTAAGAGTTGATATCACACCAAACCTGTCTCCTGAAGCCCACATAAAAAGAATAACGTCTGCGGCATATGCGAGGCTGGCTAACATCAGAACAGCGTTCAGGAACCTGTGTAAGGAATCATTCAGAATATTGTACACCACATATGTAAGACCAATCCTGGAGTATGTGGCCCCAGCATGGAGCCCGTACCTTGTCAAGCACAAGACGAAGCTGGAAAAGGTCCAAAAGTATGCCACTAGACTAGTCCCAGAACTAAAAGGCATGAGTTACGAGGAAAGGCTGCCGGAAATGCACCTTACGTCACTGGAAGACAGAAGAGTAAGGGGAGACATGATCACAACTTACAAAATCCTCAGGGGAATCGACCGGGTAAACAAGGATTACCACACACACACACACACACGTATTCCAAGTAATATGTTAGAAGGAACTGCTGGAGGATCACTACGTCAATCTTTACGCTTACAATAAATTCTTTAGGAAGCAGGTCTTGTTTGAGATTAATGAAGAGTCATGTGTACCACCGTAACGCCTGGGACTGTAATCTTCCCTAATTTGCTTTGATTGGGTCGTCTGAAAACATTAATTGATGGATCAGTAATTGTTTATCCATGTGTGAATCATAAAATTATTGTCAAATTAGTTCCTTTTTTTAAGTGGTGCAGAAGACCGTCTGAGCCGTGAACGACAGGTCGTGTTTACACACATACAAATTTTCTCTCGTATATCTTCTTATATAATTGATTTTAAGAGTCTCGAGTGATGCTAAATGATTATATTTAAGAATTTCTTCCGCATGTCAATGAGATGTTCTCTTTTGAAGTGACACAATCATTCATGAATCGTCGTCCTACTTGCCTAAATAATTTGTCAAAAATTATTTAGGCATCACCGTCAAAAAGTTTTGGCAAAGTTATACATTTTATTAACCCTTATTGTATTTTTTCTCTGGTAATAAAAATTATATTTTTTCTCTATGTAAAAAAAACACATAAATTTCAGAATATATTAAAATTCTATAAAATTTTAATTTTGTATAATATATTATGTCCAATGATATGTGGATTTTATTTTCCCTTCAATTTTTTTTCAAACACTCCAGATATCTTTATTTTTTATTCTAGATCACATTGGAAAAAAGTCTATTCTTTCCTCCTTCTTCCTCCTTTTATATTCCCCAAAGATCATTCGGGAATATAA